TTAACAATAATTAACATCATACTGAAAACAGTAAGCCAGAATTATATAACTTAATTAACATAGTCGACACTGAGCGGAGCGAGCAACGTTGTTTTCAATTTAATTCTACCCTTCATAACTTGAACTGAGTTGTTTCAAGTTGAGATTTGATATTAATATTTCATGTAGGTATGTATTCTCTACTGTTTATTAGTTACTAAATGAAAAAGACTCAAGACCTGTATGTAATGCATGAAAAATACTACGTGATTTAGAATGGATAAATCAATCGTGATTAAAACAGTTACTGTAATAAACGAGATTTAAAAGGATTCAATGTGTAAGTAATAACAATAAACCAAAGATAAATTTCATATAACTACCTATCTTATTAAATATTTAACAATATGTTGGGACTGAATCCATTCCTTAATTAGACAATTAATTTTAAGGATATTTAGCACTAAACATAAAATGAATTGTTTAAAGCACATTCTCTCACAAAATCCATTAAGTTTTAAGAATAGAAAGAGCGTCATTCAAGGTTTTATTAAATAATGTTTTAATGTCATTAATAAACTTATACCGTTATGAATAAATATGATTGAATTATGACATAGTTTTGGGAAGGTTTCTGGCGAAAAGCCAACAGTTGTTAACAGTTCCAGGCGATTATTATTACATTGTTTTTTTACAGCCGGAGAATAACTGTTACACTGTCTTTGACATTATAAATACATTGTTGTATTGTTTTTTTTTTAACATTGCTCCTACTTTAGGATAACATTGTTCCTTGTTGTAAGGGCGTTATACAAACAAATATTTCACTCGGACAAACACCCAAAAGCAGAACAACTATCTGTGGGTCACACAAATAGTTGTCCCTAGTGGGAATCGAACCTACGACCCCCCACGCTGAAGCCAATACCTTGGCAACTGCGCCACGGAGTTATCGAAGTAATTTTAAGGAGTAATCAAGTCTAAACTTTTAACATAATAATTTCGTATTTGTGATTTTCGTTTTTCTCTAGGCACATACGGTCTATTAGTAATTCTTAAGAACCCTTTGTTAAATGTAAGCAATGACCTTGCGTTTCATTCTAATCAGTAGGAAATTCAGTTGAATACGATCATTCTCTGAAACTGTGCAAATGAAACAAATCAAGTCAATTACGGCAACTCCTGTCACTCTGTAGCCAACAAATAAAGTATAAACTTATGAATATTTATTAGTCATTTGAAATAATAAGATGAATAATAAGATATAATACGGAAAAATAAGATTAAATAAACGAGGAATATCTATGTAATTTCCAAAATACACGATTTATCAGAAAAAAAACAAACCGAGCAACCGGTCCTCCAGGTACTAAGATTAAATTGATGATGTTAAAACACTCGGTGATGTTTACACTTTGTTGGTCAGTATAGCTTATGGGACGCGATTGTCACCTTTTTTAATGTTTTCCCATTATCATACTGTATGTATTAGGTTGGGGAAAAACTGTTTGCGCAAATAGTATGTATGTACTTATAAACTTTATAAAAAATGTTTTGAATTTTCATATAAAATGCGAAGTTTTCCCCAACCTATTACTTGTCGAGCGAGCGCTGGTACTCCTTGGATATTATTATCTCCCGTAGTCTTTTCTATCTATGTATTCTAAAAGAAAAACATATATTTTGTCTAAAAGCTAAAAATTAAAATATGCATACCATTGTAAAAATGTAATAGTGATATTGTTTTTTATTATTGTAAATTACCGATTATCTATTTAAAATGTTTATAAGGAAAATATTTTTAAAAGGCCAACCGTAAACAATACCGCAGTAATTTGTTATGTTAGACGGGAACAACGGAATGCTAAGCCGGAAATCTCTTATTCGTAAACGTAGGAAGAGTTCTTTTATGTCTCCGTGCCTTTTCCATATAGAAAGACCACCTTTATTTTTTTTTTTTAAATTTTAAAGTTTTTTATAGTGCTAATCTCTGCACTTAAGATTGAACATGTAGAAAAAGTACGAAAGGATTGTCGCTTACTAATACTAACACTAGAATTTAAGTTTCCGTTTTACTTACATTCATGGATTGTAAAATTATCTGAAATAAAAATAAATATATTGAATATATATAAATCTAGGTTACACTCCAAAATTACGACCCACGAGCTTGAAGCTTTTCAACCTACAATGTGAAATATTACTATGAGGGTGACACTATTGAATAATTACATTGTCGACGACGATAGACGGTTACCTGTATTTAACTGTGATTAACGATAACTTAGTGGACTCTGGATCAATTTATCATTAATATCTGCAACGTTAAAAGTGGAGCTTTTTGTATTGTAAGTGAAATAACAAACTATTAAAATGTTCCTTACTTTTAACGTACAATTAAATTAAAAAAAATAGAACTTTATAATATAATTCACTCACTGCTAAACATTTACATAACTACAGCCATCACTTAACGGAATTGACTATGTTAATAATATTGACTCTATAATCGTTGAAGCACAATAATTCTTCTAAAGCCATTGCAATTTTATGAGGTTAAGATTATTAATGAAACCGTAACATCATATGTTGCAAATGTATTAAACTTTAAAATATTGATGACAATTAAAGATATGTGATAAATTAGAAATGTATATTCCATGTTTTAACAATGATGGATGTTGTTACTTTTTTTTTCTTCTTAGCTCATTAATATGCATAAAGTTTGCAGTAAGTAATGTAGCGAACAATTTGGGCTTATTTTTACCACTCGAACTGATTCTAGATACTTGGTAAACTAGTTTTGAGTGCAAATTATTTCATTGTCTTGTTAGAACTTTGCGTCAAACTGCACGATTTTTAACGAAAACATTTATTCCGAAAACCCAGCATTCTGGAAATTATTTCTAGTGAGTAATCGAAAAATGAAAAATGAAAAATGATAAATTTAAAAATATAAAGAAATACTTAAACATGGCTCCGGCGCTTAACTAGCTACAGTTTATCCTTACCAGTTTTCAGTACGATTCGAAGAAATTTCAAATCGAATAGACGAAAAAAGCTCAGAAGTCGAATAAACTAAAAGCTCAGACATCGTGCGATTCAGATAACGGATAAGAAGTTATAATAAAATATTTTTCAATCTTTTAGTTCTTCGGGAACTTGTGTCGGTTAAATATTTAAGATCATAAGTTTAAAATTTTAAATACGATTCTAATATATGTAATATTTTCACAGTAGAACCCTTAGTAGATCAAAACTATCATTTTAGTTTAACAATGCAACATAAGCATCATTCGATATTATGTAATATTTCTATATCCAATTCGTGAGCTCCTATTTTTATTTTCAGTTAATCTCTGCACTTCTCAAATTCCGGAAGTCGTATGGTCGAATCCTAGCTGAGGCAAAAAATATAGATAATTTCTGGTAAATAATAATCTGTAATATGACTTAAAAAATCCTTATTCATATTTAAAACTGCTTTGCAGAGAAAATTCAGAAATAGTGGTAGTAAAAGAAAAATAGCTGGATACTTGAGATTTAATACATAGATTTAATAGATGACTAACGACTGAAGACTGATTTTTTTTTAGTTAATTCTGTTATTTACATTGGCTTCCTATGTAATTGTGTAGCAAGCGCATTTTTGCGATATATGCCTAGGTCTATTTATGCTGATAATGCTATTATCGGCTTATGTCATGAGCTACGTCAATTTAATATCATAAAGATCTTATGACTCTCAGTCCTTCATCTGTAATACAATTTGTTATCAATAAGCTCGCGCCGAACGTATTTAAATATTGTAGTGACATTTACCATAAACCGACATCGAATAAATTGAGTTCAATAAATTTCATTTAAGTGATTATCATGAAGCAAAGAAGAAAATCAAATTGCTGGCTGTCAGGTACATAACTGTAACTTCACTCTTACTCACTCACTCCTATTAACTATATACACGCTTCGACTTCACCAGTCTTCAGTTTTGAAGGTCAGCATCACGAATAAAATCATTTTATTAGTGTAGCGTATAGCGTGGTAAACAAATTATTTTAGTTGTCCGATAATATTTTTTTAAATTACCAATTCTATAAAGTTTTGTAATAAATTTTATATTATTAAGTAATAAATTTCTCGAAATCATTGTTTATTGATTTTAATTATCAGAAATAAAAGATTTCTAACCAAGCATGTTGTTAGAAAAAAGTTAAGTTATAATAAAAGCTAGTGATACTTATAGTTTTCATAATAAATGGACCTCCTCGTCAATGATTGAGAAGTGGTATATTCAATGACAAATGTGAAAAAACATTTTTGTCGTAAAAACAGTTAGCTAGAGCATCCCACTCAAAATGCTCTTAACTCCATGCGGTGAAAAGCCTTAAAAAATACCAGTAGTGTACTCCATTAGTTTTATTTTCATTATAGACACGCTGCCTCCGACTTAGTAATTTTTGCTAAGTTTAATTACTGAGAATTTTTTTTTGAAGGATATGCGTATGTTGTATTAATGCGTATAATGGTATATTTTATAATTTTGTTTAATGAGTAATCCACAATCGATTGAATATTTCAATAAAAATAATGATTAAACGAATAACACAAATACAATCATCTAAAAAATAGTAACAACCATTAGCAAATAATCGCTAAAATGAAGAAATAAAATGTGTTTTATTGAATAAATAATTACTCCATGTACAAATATTTATATAGAGAAGCGAAATTTGGGAGTTTATTATTATTTACGCACAAGAGATAATGAAAATTTTAATTGCCATGTAATCGCTCGAACAAACAATTTGTTTGCCCAGTTGGGTTATTTACTTCGGCTACATTAAATTTTTCCTTGCGAATGAAAAATACGTTTTGCAGATAAATAAAGAGAATGTTTATTTTTTTTGTACAAATGTTTTTTTACAAATCTACCATCACATTTAGAATTTGAATTGACAATTATGAGCTAATTAATTTGTTATCACACAATAGATTGTTTATAAAACAATTAATAATTACGGCAGTCTTATATTTGTGTCAGCACAGCACGCCGCGGTGGGCTCCGAGTGTGGACAGCTAAAGGCTACATCTTCTTCTTGACGCTGGGGACAGGGCGTATCCTCCGTTCTCTGCTCTGAACACGCCTCGACTGGGGGTAACTCATCCCTCGGGAGATGAGCCACTCTTTCCGCTGCTGGCGAGATCATTGGCACGTCCTGGCGCAGTTTTCTCGCGCGTTCATAAGCGTCGTGCGGTAAACGCATGTACTCAGGTACCTGAATATTAAAATTTGGAATTGAGCACAGCGATCTTCCTTTGAAACTGGTTGATTATTGTAGTTATACTTCTTTTGGTTAGGACCACAGTATGAGAGTGAAATTTTCACGATGTGCACGCACACCGACACCGACATGATGAAGTTGGTTGTAACAAATTTGAACAACTTCACCGTATTACCATGGCAACCAATCACAACTTTTTGTCGTTTATCCATTATTCCAAGTTATTTATCAATTGAATTTAATTTCTTTTTCACAAACAAAGAGTGACTGAGGGGATAAAATTTTTTTTTTATTTCGCTAAGGTAGTAATACTACTTAGGTGCGTATACAAGTCGTACACATCTTAATTTTTTTAATTAAAAACGAAGACGAGGTAACAAATTATAAGTATAAGCTAGTAATGACATAACTTCAATATCATTTTATAAAAGAGAATACGTGGGGTATTGTTTGCTGATTTATAAAATGATATTGAACCCTTATTGCTTAGTTTCTGAATCCCGTAGACCGCGCATCCACCATGCGGTTTCAGGTAAACCAACGTACCTTTAGCAAAATCCTGCCAATTAAAAAGCTATTAGCAGAGTAACCGATTTTGTAATGTAAAGCTTTCTAACTACAGTATGAATTTATTTAATAGCCTAGCTACAAATAGCTAGGCTATTAAATATATTCATATTCACATTTTATTATGTTTATAATAAATTTTATTATAAGTATATTATTAACCTTCGTATTATTCATATTCCGTTTTCCTTTACATACAAAACCAATAATTCAATTCTTATAAATAAAATCTTTAGTACCTATCTATATCAATATCATTCAAAAAATATTTGGGTCTTATATACAAAAAATCTACGAAATAGCATCTAATGTCTAAATAAAATTTTTGTAAGTACCTAATACAAGGATAATATCATAATGAAACATACTTCTTTGCAGTCCACGCCATACGTGCCCAGGTATCCTGCAGGACCCGATTTGATAGCATCATCTGCATTTTCAAGCATTCGAGCACTTGGTGAGATTTCATAAGGACATTCATTTCTCGCCCTTCGATCTGCCCTCTCGTCTGCGCCCTGCGCGTAGATATGAAAGTAGGAAGTATTTTATTAATCAAAATATTATTTGGATCACTTGATGGGTGCAGTTACTAAGCTGTTGGCTTCAGTACCGGGGGTCGTGGTTTCGATTTCTACACGAAACAAGTTTTTTTGTGCCCCAAAGATGATTGCTCCAGATCTGGGTGTTTGTTTCCAATGAGGGTTTGTGTCAGGCAAATGGCTGGTGGTGAAAAACATAGCCAAAACCACTTACAACATGGTTCACATACGTTGTGCTGATCCCGCCTAGGTGGGATAAGGACAGGAGGATGATGAGGACATTGAACGCTTTATAATAACGAAAAATCAATTATGTGAATTTGGTTCTTTGATTTTAGTATCGTAATTGTAATTTATCCGATGAAGATCCATAACTCCATTGGTGGATGTTATCCATGAAATATAAATATTTATAACTGCTTCGAGGTCAAATTATTTGTCTCTCGCACGACTAACTAGTTATTGCTGCTGAAATATCGAAATTTAGTTTAAGAGTAATCAACGAGGGATAGTTCTGGAAAATTAGGTATATATAATATTATATAATATTAAAATTTTTCTCTCTCTTATTATATTAAGATCAATTTCAAGATTAATTTATTATTGATAGAATGTAACTAGCGAATTTAATGCCTATATGAAAACCTATGCCTATATGAAAAATACAACGTGCTTTTAATGAAAGCATTTTCAGTAATTATTTAGCATCCTGCTTTCCCGAAACACCTTATAAAACTCCTATACTTTTTCAATTAATTTCGACCTCTCGCATTATGTGTTAAATTTTATTGATACACTTCCATATACGTTGGGCGTCTTCAGCATTATATGAAATGAATGAATGAAAAGCAAACTTGTCAGATGCAATGAGGAAACTTACCGCATCCTTATACTTATCACAGAAGTTCGGATCTTCATCGAACTGCGGCTGCTGTCCGGGTGGGTACATCAGCTCTCTGGGTTTCTCCTTATGACGCTCGTCTGCCAACGGTCCACTGAAGCACACCACCTTCTGGTGATCATCCCGCGCCTCGCCAGACCTCAGTATGCCTTTCAGCGGTAACACGTTGTCGCATGTTGGTTTGCTGTATGCAAAACAATAATGTTCAAAACAAAGCATCGCTTCATCATCACTACAAAGTTTAAAACAAAGTCGTCCCGCGTCTGTCTGTCCATTTGTTTGCTTAGATATGTAAAACTACGCTGTACGGATCTTGATGCGGTTTTTTTTACTAGATAGAGTGATTCAAGAGGAAGGTTAATATGTAGAATAAATTGCACCCATGCGAAGTGGGGCGAGTCGCTAGTCTAATATAAAAATATATCGCTAGTATGTGTGTTCCAATTTAATCAATTGCATTTGAGTATAGTAGAATAATTCAATTTAGGTAAACCGTTTTCACAAGGATCAAAATCACACACTCTCTAATATGCAACTTAGATTTTCTTGTAAAATGGAATTTTTAAATAACTAACTAAACCCAGCCACGCTTCACTATGCCTTTTTCCGTTGGAACCTCGAAATAAAAATAATAAAAAGCATATAAACACACTTTCCCATTCAATAACTGTCTTGGTAACAATCATAAAGTCCGGCGGCTAGTTTCTGAGTTTTGTGGACACAAACCTATTACGGAAGCTAAAATATGTATACTTATTATGTAAGTTTATTAATAAGTTTGTATGTATCGATGGATGTTTGTTACTCTTTCACGCAAATACTACAGAATGGATTTTAATTAAAATTTACAATAATATAGCTTATACATCAGAATAAGACATATTAAGACTATAATTTATATACATATTTTATGTATATCTGTCCTTCAGCCCTTATGCCTTCAGCCTATTCTACGCAGACATAGTCGCGGGTAGCAGCTAGTAACATAATAAAGCTGAAAGCGGTGTTTGTTTATTTGTTTGTACTCGCTAATATGTGGAACCAGTCGTATTCGAAAAAATCTTTTTGTATTTGCTAGCCCAATTCTTGAGGAAGGCTATCGGTGTACATAACATCACGCTACGACCTACGCAGGCGTAGCAGAAACGTAACTCGCGGATGAAATTGCATGCAACAGCTAGTTACATGTAAACGGTGACTCGCGCCACGGTCAACCAAGGCAGGCGTATTAAGAACGTCACCTCAGCCTAGCGGCGCGCAACGAATCGTCGTAGGATATGCGGTCGGTGAGGGCGGGCGGCGTGGGTGGCCTTGGCGGGGTGGCGCTCCCCTCCACAACACCGAGCTGGGAGAGGCAGCGCTCCATAGCGTCCGGCTCCGCCACCGCGGCCTGCCCGATCTTCGCCAGCTGTGCCCGAGTCTCCTGCGCTTGCAAATCCCTGACCGCCTCCTGTCGACGTTACGGACGCCGGCAGTTTTATTAAAGACGCAAATAGCACAGTCGGCCAAGTGTGAGAACTGTCTTAAGTAACGGTAAATGCGATGGAATATGAAGGCATCGAAAGCTTTGTAATAAATTTTTGAGGTTATTTACTCTTTTTTTTATATAAATATTATAGATTTATTTGCATTTACTCTTTGTTTTTCAAAAACGTGTAACCTCTAAAATGTATTACCTTCTTTTGGGGAAAATTATTAAAGTGATTTTTTATGATGCACGGCACCTAAAAACGATGACCATTTCACGGTGTTACCACAGCAACCAATAACAACTTTTTGACATTTAATAATTGCAAATTATTTCATTATACCGTTATCAATTGCATTCATCATCATCATCATTTCAGCCTGTTTGAGTCAATTGCATTTAACGTTCTTTTTTCACAAACATAATTTCACAAGAGTACTGTACAGAGTGCGAACATAGGTACTCACATACGTTTTTTTTCTTTCTTCCACCTATTAAACGCTACAAAGTAAAAGCTTGTGTTTCATTCTTACATTAAGGTTTACCAGTCAAGTTTAGCTACTTCATTGCTGTACGTAACATTATAACGTGTATCCTACTCGCACATGAACTTTTAGCATTGAAATGAGCATTTGTAATGTAGCAGCCTATTGTACATATAAACAAATAACTAAAAATTTATCCCCCATGCATTTACTAGTTGTTTTTGAAATAGATTAAATGCAATTAAATTTTCAGTTAGTAAAATTAATATAAATAATGTCAAAGTTGATATCGGTTGCCATAGCAATTAATACTTACTGGTCGCTTTGCGACCAACTTTATCATGTAGCTTTTTCCTTGTCGGTTTGCGCGCGCATCGATAATAAAAATTTTCCTCTCATAATTTATCACAAACGCGCCAAAAGATGTATAACTTCAAAAAGACGCCTTATACGTATGAATGTCGATTTAAAAAAAAATTTACTCGATAAACATGTAAACATTACCTCAAGCTCATCCTTCAAGTTGCCCTCTCGCATGTGATAGTTGCGAACGTTGTCGATCACCTCCTGTGGGAATTTCTCGGGATTGGCGCTCATGTATCTATACACGAACAAATCGCAGCCGATAATCTTGAAACGATGTTTGAAAACAGGCACGATGGCTCCTGTAGAGTAGAGATTTAATATTCTAACTATAAACAAGAGAATTCTTCGAAATAGATACGCCAATTCGTTTTATTTCTTGATTAATCCCAAATATTTTTATTAGTCCAACTATACAAAAAAAAAATCGTCAGGCCGCGAATGCCGAAGACGTGGGTTCGATTCCCGCAGCGGCGACAATCTTTTCGTACTTTTTCTACATGTTTTAATTTCACAATTAGTTTTATGAATCAATTACAAGAATATTACCTATGTAAAATTTATCAGGGGTATAATACGTCGGGAAATTTGGGTCCGAATCAGGCGTCTGGAGCCGCATCGAACTCAAGAATTTCCCCTCTCGGATTCCAGAATTCCTTTGCGGAATCTCCCCGATCTTTATGGTGCCATCTGCTAAACTGTAGGACAGCACAAACTTCCTGCCCTTATCCTCCGGATGGATCCAATCCAACTCGCAGAGATAGCGTAGGTACTAAAAGATAGAACAATGAATTTGATGAACACCTTCTTAAATATGTATTTACATGGGTCCTTTTTTAATAATTTCAATTAATCAGGTAAAAAGCACACAGATCCCCCCAATAGGAGCTGTGGACTTAAACAAATGATCCACCTTCCTACTAACTACTTACCCACATCTATCTAGCTAACATACTCTCGGATATTATGTATTGCCCGAGAATAAAGTTTTCGAATGAAAGATCGGTTATAATTGAGGATTTCGTTATGGGCATTTAATGGAAGAAGGTAATTTCAACCAGATTTGTATCCGAGATTTTTATGCCACCATAAGGCCAGCGTCTAGTTAAAATAACGCAATTGACACCATAAATAAAACTGAATATTACACACTATATTACTTTAATTGATGACATGATTACCAAAGATTATTCATGATTATTAATAATAATGTAGAAGAGGACTCCCATTAATAGGAAAGCCAAATACATGTAAAGGGCATAAATAGAGCCAATATTATTATTTATATTGTAGGTTTCATATTAGGTAAAAGGAATTATTACCTTGTTTGCGTTTAGATTGTATTTAATGACGTCCTTGTGAGGAGGCTTAGGCATTAAGCCAAAGCACGACCCCAGCGTATCCTCGGGCGCTCCAATGCCAATATGCGGTGGAAATACCTTTTTAATTACGTACCAAATAATTATCTTACTCGTCCAGATTTTTATATAGAGTAAATAATAAAATTAAGCAAACTAATTAAATAAAAATAATACAGAAACGCAATTGCGTTTTTACGACACTTTTCAATCACCGTTATTATAAGATTATTGGTCGACTAGTACATGGCGTCCGCATTATAGACGAAGTACACCATGATCTAAATGATAAATATTAAATTTGTCTAATAAACAATTCTATAAACTAAGTTAAACCTTTCCGAAACATTCGCCTGTGTCCATTACAGAACTTTAATTGGTAATGAAAATGTTATTCTGTAAGTAATATTGAATTTGACTTTGCATCCTCCGATTATACCGATAGGGGTAACATAAATATATGCGATGTCATGCATTAGATTAACAACTTTTATGACTTACTAAAGTAGTTCGGGTTTTAGGTTTTTATCTGTGCCCCACGACAACACGTGTTATGATAATAAATTATTGTTAAAAGACCTTTGAAAATTTTACCTTCGGAAATTCCTTGGTCTTTTCCTGAGGTATTTCTATTTTGGATGGCTGGTCAATATTTAACATTGTTCTGTGTAAACAATAAAAAAGATATAAATTCAATACATTCAATCAATTCAAGACATAAATACAAATACTATACTATACATAATACATATACTAATTGTTCAATAGAATAAAACTAAGTTATAGTAAAGTAGTTAAAGCATAAGATGATCAAAATAGCGTTTAAATTAGTGAAAATAAAGATAATCAATCATCTACGGTTAACGAATTCAACAAATTTTCCTATTGTTAAGTGGGTAAAACTATACGTGTCGTGCTACATACTTGTAATATCTTCTCGTAAATTCGTCGCAATCAAATATCAAGAAGCGTCGACCAAAGACAAAGATCGTCTCCCCGACAATGAGGTCTCTTGGGGAGTAATACTCCGTCACTTCTTCCTCTGTTGTCTCCATCACTATTGATGGAAACGATACTAAGGTAGGGAAAAAAATCACAGTATTAATGACAATGAGCTATTCACATAATTAATGAAAGATTGTATTTAAATTGTTATGGATTTAATGCGTCTTTCTGAATTTTACCACATACTTTGGGAACATAACATTTTTTTGGTCACTATTATGTAAATAATAGTAAATGTTCGCATAGTTTATTACAATTGGCAAATATTTGTACCGATAATAATTGAATAGAAAAAGTACAAATTTACCAAAATAAGGTTTTTGAATTGCGAAAAAGTGTCATCAGCTCTGAAGCCTGTTTAACTAGTCTCAACCCACTTTAAGCGAGAGCGTTTTAAATGAATGAAGAAATGGAAGCAAATATTGACTCACTTTAGTTCTATACTTAACGTTTTCAACGTGGCTGTTTGAAGAACAGAGTCTTTTTAATAATATTGTAACTTTTATTTGACTATCCCAATTTTTCAATCTACCTCTATTGATGAGAAAAATATAACTGTATTACATTCGACTCTATTCTATTGAGCTTTCATGAAAATCGTTGTCTATAGTATAATATAGAACATCCAATTTTTAAGCTTAACCCTCGATAAGTTTCCATAATATTTATTACAGGATCTGCTATAATAAAGCAATCTGATTGTAAATAGTTTGTGCGGACATTGCATGACTTTCTTTGCGTGTCGTGTGTTAGAAATCCAAAAATATTATAATTCTGAGTAATGTTTTTTATTTATATTAAATTTAGATTTTTGGAGTTACACTTCTTTTGGTGCGTTTTAAAAAAAACGTTAAATTTTTACAATACGCGCGTACACCGACAGCCTAAAAGCGACGTGATGAAGTTAGTGGTAAAGGGACCAATTTCTGGCAACCAATAATAACTCTTTAAAATTTACTTATAATTCAAAGTTTTTAATTTAACCGTCATATTGCATTTAATGTCTTTTTCAATGAGAATTGGCGCAGGGAATAAAATTTTTGTTTTATCCTATTTAATAAACAACATATAGAAAAAGTATCTTTTTAAAGCATACCCGGCTTTTCTTTCCATTTCTTTGGCAACTTCATTTTCTTCAGAAGCATAGGAAAGGGATCTTTCCCACCTCTTCCATCGTGTAGTTCCTGTATGTTTTAATTCAGTTTTACTTCATACGAAAGCTAACTAATCGCTCTCGAGGGCCCGCAGGCACAAAAACAGGTCATGTTTGTCAAACGGTACAGGTTTAACTAACGCGAGAAATTAGAATGCTACACCGGAGAGATGAATGTAAAAATGTGTACACTGGAAAATATGGCGATGGTGCGTCCGATTGATGAGTATGAAGTGAAAGAGGTAGTGCAAGATTTGAAGAATGGAAAGGCCTTGGGGCCGGATGGTAAAGTCGTTAAAGCGGTTAGTACCACGACCTCACAGCAGACCGGCGTGAAGTAGAAGTGTTACTTCTAAGTTTCGTTTGCTAAGTAAGGTAGCCGGGGCCCACTTTATAAGATGTGGCAACGCATCTGCAACCTTACTGGTGTTGCAAATGTTCATGGCTAGGGGTTTATCACTTAACATCAGTTGAACCACCACTTTCTCACATAAGAAAAAAATATTTTGCCACAAATATTGCAGAATGAGACAATCCCAAACGAATGGTGCAATAGGTAGCTGGTGCCCATCTTAAAAGCAAGGATGATCTACAGGTCTACAATAGTTATAGGGAAATAAAGCTCATATCACATAGTATAAATATTTGGGAGAAGATAATAGAAACATGTATAAGACAGGAGAGTGATGTGACCCAAAACCAGTTCGGGTTTATGCCAGGTCGTGGGAAAACGGACGCCATCACACTCCGCCCCGTCAGCTATGCGAAAATACAGACGTTCCCTTATAAACCTGCATATGGTGCCTGTTGATCTGGAGAAAACATATGAGCGGGTCCCCCGCAGATTTTGCGGTGCTCTTTGAAAAAGAAAAAATCGGCTGAATGCAAGTTGGACTCGCGCACGAAGGGTTCCGTACCATTATAAAAAAATAAAAGATAAACTAATTTCTATGGGAGTCCCCTTCAATATTTTTTATTTCATTCTGTTTTTTTCTGTGAAAATCTGTGAAATTTCAACTTTCTAACTATCACGGTTCATGATGCCGGACAGACAGACACGCAGACAGACAGACAGCAGACTTAGTAATAGGGTGCCAAGGATATGAGTATATGTGGTAAAACTTGAAAGTGGCACCAACGAGTGAGAAAATATGAATTGATCATGCGATGTATTAGATAGTGAACTAGAAAAGTGATGCAAATGTATGTGATTAAAGGGTGTAAAGCTAAAGGAAGACCGAGGAAGATTTGGATGGACTGTGTGAAGAATGAAATGAGAATATGTCTGTGAAAGGTATGAGTACCGATATGACGGCTGATTGAAGAAAGTGGAACGAAAGGACACGTTATAAAGATCCCGCCTAATATAATACCTGGGATAAGGGCAGGAGAAGGAAGAAGAATTTATATTAAAGTAAATATTAGAAGCCAAATAATGAATACCTTATATATAAAAATGGATTGCTGTTATTTAGTCTCGCTAAAACTCGAGAACGGCTGGACCGATTTGCCTAATTTTGGTATGGAAAAATTGCATGGAAAATCGAAATAGCAACAATTTTATTTTTCCATACAAACTGTACCCGTCAACCTGTCAAACGATTTTTGAACGCGTTCCGATTCCTCTAGAAATAATTTACATGGCAAAACAACGTTTGCCGAGTCAGCTAGTAAAATATAAAAACTACTATACACTTTTAAAAAATTAAAGGTGCATTTATTACGTATACCGACAACTGAATGAGTATTGTTGAAATCTAATTTAAAATATAACTTTTTAACTTTAACGTCACTAATTCCAATCTAAGTTTTCATTTATTGATTAAGATAACTTATTACCTTTACGGCAATGGTGTCGTCTTGAAGAAAATAGAAAAGCTTGTATTCGCCAAGTTCACCGCTCACAGAGTCGCGATCGTCCCACACCACATTGAATCTAAACAAAGATTCCCCCAATAATTGAATGTTCTAATAAGATTACCACAAATTAGTCAGTTTTAACAAATGACCACGCCTACGCTGTAATCACCGCCGCGTACATCAACTGGTCTGGTAACGGTGCAGCATTGAGTTCATATTTATCGATATAATATATATACATATAATAATTAATTAAAATATATTTTTGATAAGTTACAAACTAAACAATTTTTTCTGCACAGTTTTTGTTATATGGACGGAGTGGAGTTTGTTACAAGGGATCTGGAAGAGTATATGCCCCTGTATATTTCGTTGATAGCATATGCTACATCCGTGCTGCTTAAAGTTACACCCGGGTCCTAGGACTCGGGTGTAACTTTTGTAAGCGACGATTCTCACCGCTCGACTCCCAGTGAGAACGAATAATCGACGGGCATCGTAGTCATGGCCGATGTCATACGATGACAGAGTCCAGACAATTTTTAGGACAAAATATAGTCAGCAGAAAATTCAAACAGTATACAGGTTTTAAATTTTAATTAATCAACTAACCCATAAGCCATTCACTGTTATGCGCAATTTGTTTGTTATGATCAATCAATCAAGATTGGGACGGATACTACAATAATTCAATATTCCATAACGCTTAACTATTTAAAATAAATCGGTATAAAGCTTATCTGTTTATAATTTTTATTTAAAATATTAAGACAGTAAAATAAAATACTTTTATTTGAATTTAAGTGACTTTAAATACTTTTTATTAATTTAATTTCTGTAAAGTAATAGAACTTATAAATTTCCCAGTGATGGTAAAGTTCTCCTCTGTACAGAGGGTTCTAAGTCATAGGCCACCACACATCATCGAAATTTTTTTGTGCTTTCAAAAACATAATAATTATGCATCAAAAAGTGCAGGTTCACGATGTTTTCCTTCACTGCCGAGCACGTATTAAGTTAGCACATAAAATTAACAATATCGCACCGGGATTTGGACTCAGAACGCTCGAGTACGTTGAATTGAAAGCCAACGCCGAGTCACTGAACTATCACGGCTTTACTTGTCGAAATCAAATCTTGAGAATTAATTTAACTTAAACTAATCCGATGGAAATGCATTCATTAAATCTTATACTAATTAATCCGTCAAAAATATGAATGCGCCAAATGCGAAATAAAAATGAGGAATTGACAAGTTTAACGGAGGGATGAGGTGAGGAGTGAGGTCAGCGGTTTGCGGCGTCCAGCGAGCGACCCATATACAGAACTACAAATTAGCTACTTGTTAATTGACCCGGCAAGCGGCAGTATAAACTATGCAATATTTAAATGAAATATGTTCAATCTAAAAATTCTTTTGTTTATTTTCTTTTTAGACGAAACAAATGAAACAACGTTTCGTTGTACAATGTTAAAAAACATTATTGCAACATTTAACAGACTTATTTACAAAGTTACTTATTCTTCAAGTACGTTTACATCAATCTTATGTACAATTTCTTAACTAGTGATTTAAGATTGGACATTATGTTCAAATGAATTTCGTAAGATATTTCGTAGAGTCACTTGGCATCTTGACCAAATCATCCGCAAAGATGAAGATTACTAAAAGTTTTTAAGAACGTTATGTACTACATTTTTTAATCGCAGGAAGATAAATCTCACTTACGTGAGTACTTTTCCATCGTATTCCAGAAAGCGTCGGAGCGGATCATGCTGTGAGGTCATCCTCCTTGGTGGCTGCACTGTCTTCCATCGTTGTTTTTCAACATATGGATCCACCGGTAACTCTTCCTCCTTTGACAACTCTATGCCTTGTGACTCCAACCACTCCTTTGGGAAAACATACGTTTTTAAATAAAAACAAAGTCCGGCTAAGGAAGAATAATCAGAGAATACCTAAAACGGATACAAAGTAAATCTTAATATTTTTTACACATTAAATGTTCATAAATTACGTAATATATTATGATTATTATAAAATTCATTTTATATATTACAATACGTGTAACATTTATCTATAGACAATTTTCGTGTTCTAAATCAAGGCCTCCGTGGCGCAATCGGCTAGCGCGTTCGGCTGTTAATCGAAAGGTTGGTGGTTCGAGCCCACCCGGGGGCGACATATGTCTTGCCAAAACTTTTGTAATAAATAATTCTCTAATCGCTTTAGTATAACATTTACAGAATTATATGCAAAGAACGTCCAATAGAACTTCACATGTTTCACTATATTTCTCATATCTTTTTCAATCTAATATAGCGTAGATTCGGCGAAAAATTGATCTGGCTAGGTTTCATTTTTATAAAATGTCGTTTTATCCCAGTTTTCACAGAATGAAAAATATCATTCGAATACGACGGTAAATTTCACCAAAAAAAAATGTTATAATAGCTCGGTCGGTAATCGGACGGCCCCGAAACAGAATGCCGTGGTTCGTGTCACGATCATTTACACACTTATTTTTCGATTCCAGATCATTGCTTTCTTTTTTTTCTTTTTTGTCGATCCAGATGATTTTGTTACTTTTTTTCCTTTTTTTTTAATTCTTTCTTTTGTGAAAAACACCAGTTCATATTTTCTTATTATTACGTCGGTAAGATCGAAAAATATTATGCATATTTCATTACTCAATAATTTTTATCTAAATGTAAAAAGGAATTGTTCTGCCCACAAGACTATAACTATAAAGGAATTGTTCTGCCCACAAGACTATAACTATTGACAACTAGACGCCGTGTAATATTACCAACTCGCGATTAAAATAAAAACTGTAAAAAGTGTAAGAAAGTAGAATTTTTAAAAGAATACGTTTATAAAATAAATTACGACAAGATCTAAATACACGCCATATAAAAGAATATATTTGTTCAATAAAACTAAATGTTGCATATTATATGCGTTAAACACTATCTGGCTTTTAGCCACCCCGAAATACTATTCGATTGAAAATAAAAGCCTTACTGTTATTTATTAAATTATTTTGTTTCTAGTACATTATACGATTAGTTTTGTTAATTAAAATACTTTTCACGCTTTTTCATGTAGTAAATAACATCACTTTAACAGTTAGTGATTTTATTATTCTCCAAAAACAAATCAAACATAATGCTCCTGAAAGGTCGCCATAATGATATTTGAAGAGGCCCGAAAAATATTTTTTCTTTGCTATCCTCTTTATTGTATTGAGGTCTGATCTTTTTACATCGTGAGGTAATGTGTTCTTCCCAGTATAATGTTATTTTATTATCTTTAACTCTATCCTTTTAAAATAAATGTGTTTACTTTTTTTTAACGTTAAATGTGTGTTAAGGTTCTTATATCCATTATAAGTAGTTTATTGTTTTACAATTATTACTACATGGCACTATATTTTTCTATAACAAACAAGAATCTTAATAGTGTATTTGTAATTCTCAGACTTCTAGTTGTATAATTTTTTGTCAATCACATTTTTTTTTAAATCAAATAGCAATCTTTTTTCAAGCTGCTATTTTAGCAATTATTACAAACGTTACATTTTTGCTAAAACAGAATTAAAGGCGATAGAAGAATCCGTACCTATTAAACAGAACATTAAAAATACTATAAATCCTAAAATAAGGCAACTGTTCTCGATACGCATCAGCTTCTGCTTTTGCACAACTGGGCATGGTCATCCGAAGAAATAACACAACAAGGCTTCAACATCAAGTGAACCGTTCGGTTCCTATCTTTTTACATAAAAAAATCGTTCCATCCAACACGAACTTATTTTCTTTCTTAATAACATTCAATAACATTGAACAAAGAATTAAGAACACTATTTTTTACCTATGTTTAAGTATTGTTAAACGAAAAAATATAATTTATCAGTTTGTTTCACATACCTATTCGTTACGCATTCGACAAATTATGTAATAAATTTATCAATCTAATAAAAATTATATCTCTTTATGTCATTAATCATTCAAAAATACTGATTCGTTAGATTATTTCTTTACTTGCGCAACTCATAATCTTGTATTGCAATTTTACAGATTGTGGGTCATGGTGATTACGTGATGATAGTCAATTATATGATATTAACCTTAACTCGAAGTGAATGGATCATTTCACCTGTCGAAATACGTTGTATTAAATAACACCGCAAAATAGTACGTGGAAAAATTAAAATAGGAATTCCACTCTATTATTTTCTTGGTTTATACTTCATCGTAAATGAGTAAATACAATTTACTGCATACCAAACAAAATTAAGACAAACTTTTGAGCGTCTCATCATTTGAATGCTATAAAAATTCGCTTTTTAATATGTGAACGTTTGGGCCGCACATGAATTCTATATCTATATCAGTATCATACGCGCTTCGGCGGTCAACGGACGTGTAACGGAACTCTGAACAAACATGGCTTCTTTAACTCTGTCTGATCCGGTCGTCCAATCTTACATAGTGTATTCGGCGGTCTTGGCACTCAAGCTGCTGTCCGTGTCTACACTAACGACGCTGACGCGCATGGCGAAAGGAATATTCTCGAATCCGGAGGACGCCACGCTCTTCAGGGGAAAGGTTAAATACGACGACGGGACCATCGAGCGAGTGAGGCGCGCGCATTTGAACGATCTGGAGAACATCCCGGCGTTTTGGTTGCTCGGCGCCCTGTACCTGACCACGGGGCCAGTGGCCGCGGTGGCGACGAACCTGTTCCGCGTGTACACGGTCTTCCGCGTCATCCACACCATTGTTTACGCAGTGGTCCCGCTGCCCCAACCATCGCGCGCCATCGCCTACGCGGTCCCCTACCTCATCAAGTGGTATATGGGCATACAAGTCGTACTGTATTACATCACGGCCGTGTAAACAAGTTTTACTTTTAATGTCTGGACCAAATTAGTTTCCGTAATCTCTGTTATATTTCTTTCGACCTGCTGGCGAAAACAATTTCTAAGTGAAGGGACCAATTATACAACGTATTATATTTTTATTCGATGTTCTGTTTTAATTTTATTGTTTTTTGTACTTGTTAAAAGGGTTTTATCTTATTTTTATAAAAGACAATTATTTATTGTTGGGCAATTAATTTCAACCTAAACGTTAATAAAGGATTCCGAATAGAACAAACATCAAAAAAAATCCTTTACACGGTTATTTTATGTAACAGTAAATTGTTATGTTATTGTGATAGATATATTCGAACCTTCTTATGTACTAAACGTCAAATATTTCTAAGACTATTTAAGAACTTTCAATAGATTTTTGTAACTAATTAAGTTTAAATAATAAAAAATTGTAATGATTTCTGACGGTTTAAATTACTGTTGTATAATGGGCAATCCAAAGAATTCATTATAAAATTTTAAACCTTATGTTTGCCGGTATTGAAAAAAAATAGACATTTATGTTAATGTTTTCATTAAAAAAAAAAACTCGTTTAAAATTTTCTAATCATCCAAAAGGAACTTATTGGAATATATCGAACTTATTTAAATAATAATGTTATTAATAAATGACAAACGAATAAGTCACTAGCTTTCACACATAGATTTGCACGTATAGACATGTAACGTTACACATATGTGCAATATATGAGCTTTACACTTATGAGTATTAGATCTTCAAACAGGTAAGAGTTTCATGCCACAATATAGAGAATATGAACAATGAATTATTAAACAGTTTCCTATTAGTCAGTTATTCAAACTGACTAATAGGAATGTTCAAAAAATAGTTTAAGGTGAGCCAAATCCCATGCGTCGTTTGCACACGGCATATAACAATTATCTATTGATTGATTGTTGTTTGTGATAGTTTTATGCAAATTATCTTTGTACTAGTACAAGGGTAATATAAACTTAAAATTAGTTTTTTGTTTTACTTTAAACATTTAATCATAAAGAAAATATAAAATTGATTTTCAACAAAAGAATACGAATTTAAAGATGTAAAAATTATCCGTCCAAAAACATTATTTCTTTTAATTACAGAGGAACAAAAGGAAATCAGATAAGTTTATTTTTTTATTAAAGTCCGCTCTAACAATACAACAGTTGCGAAATAGGCAGCAGGCTTTACGCTTGCATATCTTTCGTAAACATCCTTCAAGGCTATTAAAACAAGAAACCCTTGGCTGAGTTTTACCGCACTTACGTAGTGATTGCAACCAATAATTATATAAGATAAAATAAAAAACCAAACAGTGCTTAGAAGGAGCCGCAAATCATCCGAACTCTTTCGTGGTAAACACTGCTGATCACCGAGCGGTCCTAAATGTAGTAATAAAAATGTAAAAATAGACACGGTCGAGGAAGAAGAATGGTCACGCGCGGTTTCTGAAACACCAATCATCGTAGGTGTCAACTAATCAGCTGTCAAATGGCTTTACAAATGCCATTTGAGTTGCCAAAAGGATGGTTAAACTCTTTGAATTGAACATTCTGAATATCATTCTAGTCTATTCAGTGAGTTTGACCATCCTACTGGCAACTAAAATAAAATTTGAAAAGCCATTTGACAGCTGATTAGTTGACATCTACGATGATCAGTGTTACAGAAATCGGGCATCAGTTGGCTAGTTCGGTCAGCGGTATGACATCTTAGGGTAGGGGTCGATGGAATCCCCTCCGACCGTGTCCCTTGTCATGGTGGAGGGTTTTAGTAGCTGTGATCTGATCACCCAAGCTTCTGGTCAATGAACTAGGAGGAAGTTTGACTTAAAAATAATGAAATATGATATCAAAAATTGCCTGCCAGTGTAATTAGAGAAACGAAGTCCGTTAATAAGTAAAATAAGATCTTGTTACAAGTGCAACTTCACTCCCATACCTAATGGAATGGATATTTTAGAACAACACGGAAATATTATATTAAATATAAATAGTATTATTTAGAAAAAAAAAACATTTCGCTCTAAAGGTAGTTTTGATATTTCAAACCACTAAACAATCTCTTTAATACTGAAAAAGCCGCGTCTATATCTTAAAAAGAATGCTATGTGATTATTCCTCTCGCTTTTCTGCAATTCCATGTTTCCAGAAGTTTATAGTTTCAGCCTTCAGTTGTGCTTGACCTACAGTGATATGTAAAAAGTGTGTTGTAACATGTAGGTTTTTCAGGTCATTTTAACAATTTTTCATATCAAAATAAAAAAGCGAGAAATAAAAAAATAACGATTTCATTTCACTCGTTGATGTCTCTTTACAGTCTCTATCTGTCTAGATATTATAATAGGTACCTCTATCTCACGAAGGAAACTAAAATAATAATAAAAATGCTTCAACTAACAGTAGTTTTACGATAAAATAGAAACTTTTTTTACGTGAAAAAGTGGCAAACGAACTGGCGGTTGACCTAATGTTAAGTGATGGCCATATGCAACACCGCTAGGGTTGCAGATGCGTTGCCACCTTTTAATACCTCACTCACCAGACGAAACGCAGAAGTGTAACACTTCTACTTCACGCCGGTCTTCTGTGAGGTCGTAGTACCCAACCGGACAGACCTGCCCATTCGTCCAACAGGGAACATAGCATAGCTCTACCACAGATAAATCTTTGTACAATCCATCTCTCCAGATATTTGCATCTAGAGTAAACCTAGATGTTTCATTTAGAGATGGTTGATCTAACCGTTTTTTTTGTTATTTTAAAATGAAAATTGTTAATTTGAGATGAAAAATTGTTAAAATGAGTTGGAAAACCTATATAAACTCATTTTCGTATGTTAACTATATTAACAAATAATTATATACTATTGATAATAAGTACCTGAAATAGTACATAATTATTTGCATTGATAAGAAGCTACTTATTAGTTTGTTGTTTTTAATTTGGAGGTTAATTTCTTTCGCTGCTTAATATAATATTTTTAGTTATGATTAAAAACTAAATTAATTAGTTACACAGATAATTCTTTTGATATTAATAATTTTATAAATAGTTATTCTTATTTAATTTTTATGATGGTGAGATGTCAGATGTTGCACATCATATGCGACTTCAGTAAGACTCATTTTTCATTGCTATTTTGAAACTTCCTCACGATATTTTCCTTCGCCACTTAGGAAGTAATGAGTCAGCACCAATTTGTATTTGTTCTAAATTTGCACCGGGATTTGTACTAAGGTTCATTGCGTATATTGTATTAAAAGCGAGCACCCGGATACTGAGGGGTTTAATAGAACACACGAATTTGATACGATTCTACTCTTTGTGTAGGGTCGTGCATGTTGCTGATGCGTACGTTATTTACGAAAACGAAACTCGATATAAACACATAGAATATTGAAACTTAGTCTTAATCACAGTCACATAAACATCGTCCGATTAAATAAAAACTTCTACCATGTAAAATATTCATTCAATATTGCCGCGTGGACGTTATAATATTTACCATTCATCCATAATGTAAATGGCATGTGTTTATTTCTGAAACGTAAGTAACAATACCGGAGCTAATTTAACACTAATACGATTTTACGTCGCATTTGTTAATGATACGCGTGAGTCACGACAAATACATACACAGCGATTTACGACTACGAGTCTCGTAATTTATCAAATCGCTATCACCACCACAACCTATACTCTAGATAATATATCAACCGTAGTCAAGTAAACATGATAAATATAGTGTATAAGTATAGATAGAAAATATAGTGTATAAGCTGAAATATATAATAAATCTGTAATTTTTTTATAAACTCAAATTTTTTATACTTACCAGAAGGGATACGACTTACTAAATAGGTGTATATTTCAATTCTTTTTTCAAATAAATAGGATAAAAAGACAAGCAACTTAAAAACAAAAAATGGTAAATCATTTTATACCGTACGTTGCATGATTAAAATAAATAAAAAGAAAAATGTACTGAAAAACGTTACTGGAATTTTGTAACAAAACAAGCTTATATGTTCATGTTATAAATTTCCTGAAATCATATATATAGGTGTTTACATAATGCATGATATACTGATCAATGTACCTTAAAATAAATACTGGTTTGATAAACGAATGAATCGAAGAGCGTTGAGGTGAGCATTACCACTACGCGACACGACCGTAATCATTCAATTCATTCAAACATTGTTTCCAGAGCTGTACGCACGCCCGCGTCCACGGCATCAACAAGCTACTGACGGATTAAAAATAAAACATGGTGTCACTAAACGATCCCGCTGTGCAATCGTACATATTCTACTCCGGAGTTCTGGCCTTGAAAGTGTTAGTAATGGCGGTCCTCACGGGGAGAGTGAGATACAGTAAAAAAGTGTTTGCCAACCCAGAAGACGCCAAATCAGCCAAAGGCAAAGTGAAGTTGGACGATCCCGACGTAGAGAGAGTGAGACGGGCGCATTTAAACGACCTCGAGAACATTCCGGCGTTTTGGATTCTGGGAGCGTTATACCTGACAACAGCGCCGGTCGCCGCGTGGGCTACTCTACTCTTCAGAGTCTACACTGCTTGCCGCATTGTCCACACAATTGTGTATGCGGTGAAACCCTTGCCGCAACCCGCGAGGGCAATCGCCTATTTTATTCCATATGCTATCAAATGGTACATAGGCTTTAAGGTGATCTCACACTTCGCCACTGCACTGTAAATATATTAAAGTACTATTTATTTAACACATTATTTTTAAAAGGTTGGAACTTAAGAAATAAAAGTGACATTTGTTTATTTTGGAATACACTTATTTTTTAATCCATGTGTATTAATTAAATTTATTTCACCCCTCCATTTTCCGCCTTCAATTTTCGATGATAATTAAACATTAAAATTTTTATATTACTTTATAATATTAATCATTAATCATTTATTTAGGTGTTTACTCATAGCATAGAAGAAAAGTATAACGGTTTTGAATATTCCTTTAAAAATTATATTATTAAGAACCTGTTTACATCAATAACATGTTATACTAATAGGTATATCATCTATACGCTTACATATTCACCGGTGCAAAGTATTCCAAACACAATGACAGATTGATAGCACACATTCACTCATGACTTACTCACACATATCGAGTGTAAAAAGGATGGCGTAAATAAAATAATAAGATAGAAGAGAACAGCTAGTGTTTGGCACGTAAAGAATTCTCGGTCTCGCTCAGGCCACTAATTACAGCACGCTTGACATAGACTTGTCTCTTTCTTTCTCGTCTCCTTTAAAGTGTAGTTGGTACATCTTTTAAACACATGACGGCATTTTAATTATTTTATTTTTTTTTACGTCATGAACTAAAGGCAAAACGTCCCAAGTGGGATATATATTGGGATAATAAATATAATCAGGTTGTTAAGTAGAAATATATCAGGTTGTTATACTTAAGTATTGCAAATTAGTAACTCATAATTTTAAGTATAATGCAATATTTGTTACAATTTACTTAAATTTAAAACATGTAATTTAATATCACTAAGAAAAAATAATAAAATTTATTTTAATTTCTTCGTCTCAAAAGTAATCCTCGTAAAATTCAATCATGTAACTTTTTTGGAGTTAATTATATCACCAGATGCTCTAGGAAATTAGGTTGTATGAAATTACGGTTTTTGTGATTTAAGTGTGCCAAAATTACAAAGATTAATCTAAAACAACAAACCTTTCATATACAAGTAATATTTCATATTATTATCAGCAATATTAGTCATTGGTATATTACAAAAATAAATAATTATTTTTTCGTCATCTTGCCTTATTTAATAATATATATAATTATACTTTTATAATTTGCCCTTTATTTGCTGGTGTTCGAAAAGTGATGTCATGTGCGCCATGAAAGTTTTGAAGTTTCCTTTTTATATTGTAAAAAAAACTTATTGTAAGAATACACAGCGATCCAATATTAAAAGTTTAATAAATAGAATTTAAACGATACATAATTATAGTTCTGTTAATCATTTTTGTGAAGGCCTCAAACTATCACGGAAGAAAAAAAATAAACAGCAAAAAGGAAGTTAGCTCAAAAAAGATAATGGTGAAAATATTAATGAAAAGTATAAGAAATTTAAAAAAAAGTTTACGATATGTTGTTTTACCATATTGATCATCACCGCACACGCTTTTAGCATGTGATGAAATTTAAAAATAAAAGTTATGCACATTACTATTTTGACTTAACCCATATATTCGATGGTCAAAAATATACTCAAAAATGATTTCTCCCTATTCTTACGTGAACTTATTAACAACTGGTATCATTATGCATGCACACTAAAGCAATAATTACGTTTACATATACAAATGTGTATACACGACTGTAAAACGTAGCTATCACGCACATGAAATACAAAGAGATAACCTATTTGTGTAATACTTTTGTAAAATGCCTACATTGGTTACATAATCTTTGGTCACTGTACAATGTATACGATTTAGTTGACAACTGATGATATTATAGTCCCGTCAAATTAGCTTCAAAAATAGGGGTAAGGTCACATTAATGCTCTCAAAGCTGAAAATTGGCATAAATGTTGGGAAGACTATTACAAACAATTTATTAAAAATCCGCATCGATCCAATGTGTGCAAAAACATTTATTCAAGGTCAAATGTTACAAAAATCTGTGTTTTGTATTGTTCAGCTAAACGACAATTTTTGTCGTAAAAATAGCTGAGACAACATTTATTCATTAGGTGATTATCTATAAAAAATGTCTCTACACTTTTTTCCTTAGAATCACCATTTGGAAGACATGTATAGCGATGCATTAATGAGGATGAAAAGTTGTGTTCTTCATAAAATGTACACGTTTCCGCGCCACCCATGGGGTAGGGCACTTGGCGCGTTTTTATTAACGCCCCAAGTACAAATTATCCGTATGCTTATTCCACGATCTATTTTTGTCTTGTTAAGTTAAAAATATTGTATTTATTTTAAATACTATTATGGGAAATGATGAAATTGGTGTAATGAATTAATCTAGCATGTTTTGACCGGGCTATAACGTAATTTTAGGCAAACTGCAAACTACTATATTTTTATCACTAACGAAGAAGCATGAGGTTATTGATAATTATTAAAAAAGAAAGGTCAAGCAAAGCGACCACACCCATTGAATTTTACAAATTTATTGTATAAATGTTAAATATCGTGACATTTTATTCAAGTTATATGTATCTTTCTATGCAAATATTATGTCGGTTTTTCTGAACACGTACCTTCTGAACAAATTGAGGTCATACTCAGCTATCTATTATGTCATGTTAATTCTATTTATCTGTTGTATATAGAATTTCATAACTATGGATATCACATCTGTAAGGAATATGAACATCATAACTATACATATGTACGAAGGCTCGTGGCTTAATATAATCTGCTGTAAATCATTTTAAAAAATTTGAAACTATCTGTGAGAAATTCTTACCGGAATGTTTACCGATTTTATTGAAATTGATTTTTTATTTCATTTAAATGTAAGTGTTCAATCCACTGTGAATTTTGCGTAATTCACTACCTATATTCAATAATTTGAATCTAATACGTTAATTATATAAAATTAAATGAAATCGGCACTATATCGAAAAGATAGAGAGCGTCAATTAGATATCTTACTTCACTCGTTTCGTATTATCGTATAGATCAAAGATCAGTCTGATATAAACACAGTACTTTTTGGTCACGAGGGCTTCATAAAATATTAAAATTTATTATAAAGTTTTATGTAAATAACAACAATAATTTACCCTAAGCTTTATGGTGTGCCGTGTATTGTCGGACAATAAAGACCTGGCTGGACCAAGGCGTTAGACAGCCCAGTAACAGAAATGGAGCTTCGCTGCTATGAATTCTTAAATGTTATGAATAAGATGTTATGAATTCTTAAAAAAATAACTCTTTGTGTGATGATTGAAGTTTTTTTGTTTCATCATCTGCATCAAATTATATTTAATTTGATGCAGATGATGAAACAAAGCAACTAAATTATTTTATCCAAAAATAATTATTATATACAATATATATTATCCAAAAACTGTGCTGGAGGGACGATTATTTTTATGTCTTTCATAATTTAACAATTACATTCTATTGTTCTACGTATTTTAATTAGATTCTATATTTGAAACAACACGGCGGCTATTTCATGGTAGAAAAATGTACCTAACCCAATACGCTTATAGATTATGTTACGGTGTATTATCGTCAGTACTAGATTAAAGTCATGCAGTGATATCACGCGTGAACGGCTGAACCGATTTCACTTTTTTTTTTGTTTGTTTGTCAGGAGAAGGTTCTTATGAAAGAAAAATTTTAAAAAATGCGCGGAAAATTAGAAGATTTAAGAATACTTAAAACCATATTATATTATTTCTAATTTAACTTAAGCTTATATACGCGTTAAATAAACCAAGAATATTGTATATCATAAAGCATTAGAATAATAAACCCATTTTTTTTTTATTGACTATACCAATTCGAATTAAATAGTCATCGTTAAGACAGGACGTCTGTCGGGTCAGCTAGTCTTGAATAAAATTGTACAAATGGTGGAATCTTTGATGTTATGTCGTTACAGTACTTTTAAATATATCAGAAGTACTTTAAGGTCTCAATTTGATTCTAATACCCACAATTATTATAATAGAAAAAAACAAATGCGCACGTTACGTCCTAACGACAATATTCTGGTGTTTTTGTGGGGGTGTTTGTATGGGTTTATATGAAGCTTTCCCACATAAGATATTATCATTTATCAATGTTTATCAATAACTTCAAATTCTAAAACAATTTTTTTAAAAAGATAATGATGGATATTAAATGTTTTGTATCTAAATCATGTTTTGTTTAAAGAACTTCTATATCTTCAGATTATGGGGTGCATAAATGTAAACCTTTTAAGGCATGGACGATTTTGGTTTTCTGACTATATTCAATATCTGAGTTAGCAATATTACGCAGGTGGGAAGAATTGCGAACGCGGGACGCTTATTTTTATTTTACGCGGACATGCAATTACGTCAATGCAAGTATTGATAGTCAATGCTAAAAGCTGATTTCCGTTGTAACTGTTGGATATAGTTAGTTAAAATTAGAAATTTGTAAAATTGTAATTGCTAAAAGTTGTCTTTTAATTAATTATAGGTACTTGGTCAAAAAATTATTCATTATAACTGTTTTGTTTTTAATAGCATTGACACAAATGGTCAGTAAAAGTGTGTCAAAGCCTAAAAATTTTATTTGCCCGCATACAAACTCGGTAGGTCGTTTCAAAGTTGTTTCAAAGTGTGGGTCATGGTGATTACGTGATGATAGTCAATTATATGATATTAACCTTAACTCGAAGTGAATGGATCATTTCACCTGTCGAAATACGTTGTATTAAATAACACCGCAAAATAGTACGTGGAAAAATTCAAAATCACAAACTACGCAACTTCGCCTGTTACCTAACTTCGTAATAGTATAATTTTCTCTTTCCTAAAAACCATTAGTTATACGGGTCAATTTATAATGGACTAACATCTTTACAACTTTATCTTTAACTGGTATTACTGGTAATTCTCGCAAGACAATATGAAGACGTTCTCCCCGATTTCGTGCATGTGCCACATTTAATCCATTATACCATTTTTTTTTATTTTACTTTACCAATTCACACAAATTTATTAACTGCCATTTCAAAGGTACAGTACTGAGCAAGAAGTCTAGCTTTTGATAGGACTTTATTTATTGCCAACCACTGCGAACCTGAGCCGTCAGCTGTTCACTCTTTTCAGAGTGAAAATTTTAACCATGCTTCCCATAGAGAATATGTTAAATATCTTTATCTACAAAATTTTACAATTTTAAGTTTCACCTTGAGTGCAGCTAAACTAGCACTAAATAAAAATTAATCTTAAAAAGTTTTGAGAGCAATGGTGACATCTCCCGATACAAATATTCATCGTTGAATGTTATTTGTAAGGTGTTGTACTCGTATGCTGTAAGTAAAGGATGCAAACTAAATCACGCCAAGCATTGCTAAAAATGCAACAGAATGAACGTAGTCGAGATTTTAGCGCCATAAGGTCAGCGGCCGCTAAAATTAGTTGGTAGCGTTGGGCCGACAATTTTTGTTCATTTATCTACCAAAAATTTACAATTTATAGCTAAATATGTTAATACGATAATCAAGATTTCACGGTGGTACGCAGCAGCCTCGGCTGTTGCACGAATGGCGGGGCCGTCCGGGTAAGTACCACGACCTCACAGAAGACCGGCATAAGTAGAAGTATAATACTTTCGCATTTCGTCTGGTGACTAGGGTGGCCGGAGCCCAATTTTCAAAAGGTTGGAAGGTTGGATTGATTGAAGGTCATCTGGAACCCTCGGGTTTAGCAGATGTCCATGGGCGGCAGTATTCACTTAACATCAGGTGAACCGTCTGCTCGCTTGGCAACTTTTCACATAAAAAAAAGATATTTTGCAAAAAGATAACAACATTATATACAACTAAGATATTATTCTGAAAAAATGCCCCAAATTTCAAGACAATTATCCTAATGTAAACGATTTATATTAAATTATTATTTTGCCTACTAACAAAACTCGTTGTTACTTTGATTGCGTGATAACTAAGTCTAAGCGCTCGCTTTTAATTCAATACACTCGAGCAACCCGACATAAAATCCCGGCGGCGGCACCAAAGAAAATTGTTAATTTCAACTACTTTTATACGAAACTGACCAGACCCACCTGAAGGCGACGCAGCCGTTGATGTTAAGCGTTACCACAGTAACAACCAATCTATTCATTCTTGCCTTGAAGACACCTACGCTATAATCGGACGAACAGACGGACACCGGCAGGTTGTTCCTTTCCGGATGATAAATGACGAAAAAAAACACTTCGTTCTTGTGAATGGAATGCTTACAGCAAAATGGTGGAGCCCAGCCGAACGTCTAATTATCTGATGATGGAAAGGGGCGGGAGGAATCAAATCGTGTAACTCCAACGCACACTCTTCAAAATACATCCTGTACAAATCCGAGAGGCTGTAACCGGCCTATTTATTCACCGAGACTAGTGAGCCTTTGTGCACTTTGTTAAGAGTGAAGGGGCTCATTTTTGCGGAAAAGAATAAAGAGACACAACCTCGTAGGCGATGAATGACATAAGATTCACCTTATTCAGAATCCGCCTGCAATGTAAGATTCAAATGATCTGCCATGGCCTCTCTTCCGGACTGGATAAGATCTCTACCGACCCGAATACTCGATTGGTATCTCTCTACAACTGTAATGTCGTCCGCGTACCCATTGACACCGGGCATGAGCAGATCTCATATGCAGAAAGAAAGGAGTTGTGGAAAGGACGGTACCCTGAGGTACTCCGGCATAAGTAACTATCGGCTCTGATAAACAGCCCTTCTACGACTACTCAATGAGACTGTTCACTCAGAAAGTATTTCACCCAACCGATTAGGCCAGGAGATATTCCGTACGGTGGAAATTTGCTGAGGGAGCTAGCGTGCCAGACCCACATTATATTTGTATCAAGCATCTATGTATAAAATACTTGGATGCTTGACTATATTATACATAGATGCTTGATACAAATATAATGTTTGTTGCTCCTTGAAGCCAAGCCACGTGTCGGAAATGGCTTCAACGAAGTATAAATAACTTTTCGAACTTTTCTATTAAAACTTGTGCCACACGAAATACTATTAAACCCATACGAATGGATAGGAGCGAAGACTAATTCGTCAATCGGCGACACCTGGCACCTGGCAGTGATTGATTGATTCAAAGTCCAACGAGGTAATGCATCACTTCTTTATGTGGTTAGTTTTCATTCACTTTGGTTGAAAACATATTTCAGAATTGTTTTGTTTAGTGTCAAAGGTTGATGAACTACGAGAACTATGACAGCAAGTAGTGTTTATCATAAATTGTAATCATTACTGCCCGCATTCACGTGTAAAATGCATTAAATGTATATAAAATATTTTTACCACTGGGTTCTTAAAAATTTCACCTAATTTTGAAGTAAAACTTCTTTAGGGCGACTAGGGAGTAACTCAGATTTTTTTCTGACGGAAGTAACGCTTTTTCTGACGGAAGTAACGTCATAAGTATATGTCATATTTTTAAAATATGACATATACTTTTGACGTTATTAATTATTTAATCATTCCAGTGATATACGCCGTCAACGCCAAAGAAGTTTTACTTCAATCGCGCGTAAAGGTTACACGCACACACTTTTTTATCTATAAGTTATAAGATTTCAGCTTTATTCAAATGTAATTGATTTAAGACGGAATAACCGTTGGTAGGTTTTTCAAAGCTATTTCCTTGAATCTACTGAAGAGAACTTTTGGAAATTCGATGACCTAAACTAATTCAAATTTTGTAAAAAATATACGAAAACTATTCGATGCATATTTTTTTAAAAAAGAAATGAGATACTCGTATGCCTATGGGGAAAATGCCTATAAAAGATATTCGAGATTATCTAGGAACCGTCCATTTGGGGTCTCCAAATCATAATTGACCAGTTAATATGAGAATGTAATTAATAAAATCAACATACCTTCGTAAACAGATCACAGGAAACAGTGTGGAAGACCTTCCCATATATACATATATCTTTACCATTGTCCAAGTCTTTCCAGTGCCAACATTCACCGATGTCGTTCTTGGGTATTTTACCACGCTTTACGAGTCTACCTTGCCATAGTCCTGAATTCTGTGAGATATATGTGCATCTTAAATAAATACATACATTAAATTTCTATGGATAATTGGATAGACCACAACAAAATGTAAAATATTAAAATGAAATATATGAGTAGTCTAAAATCATGAAACAAACAAATTATTTTTTATAAAATCATTTTTTTTATTAAATCACAATTTTTTCTTATATTTGTTCCTAGATATCATAAGAGCAAAAGCGCAATAAATTATTTTGTTGTCTCGTCTCTTCAATGAAAACTTGCTATTTAATACACCACAGGAGTCTAGTAAATCTATTACAAACCATGATGTCAGATATTCTGTAGAAAACCAATTCTTTTTCTTAAGCTTTAGTGTTCTTACAATTGTCATTGATTCGAATTACGAAGCAAAGAAAGTAATTAAATGGCACTAATATTAAAGAGGCATAACAATATTTCTACGAAATGCAGAAGAGACCGCTAGTGTTAAATTGATATTTTACGAATTTCTGTGAATATCCATTAAACCCTCTCTAAAGCATTAATATTAAGATCCGGCCCGGGACAGGTATACCGATGTTTTGATTTCGTACAATGTCTATAGCGATTCCAATCAGTCCATGGTTATATCTGGTACAGTAATAAGTTTTTGAGCCTCAGTGTCCAGGCACTCGCCTTTAATTTATTATACTCGTGCAATCTGGGTTCAATCCCCGGTGCCGGCACCGATGAAATTGTTAATTTTAAGTGCTGACTAATCAGGTGCTCGGCGGTGTAGGAAAACTTCGTGAGGAAACCTGCATATTTTCGAAATAATAAAATAAACCGAAAAATATGTGAAATCAGCCAATTCGCAAAGTGTTCGCGTGGTGGAATATGGCATGATACCCTCTTGACAGAGGAGGCCTTTGCCCAGCTGTGGGACATTTATAGGATGTTACTTTTTACAGTAATATATTTAACTGTTGAAGGGCCACGCCGGAGCTACTGTTGCTCTAATGGGCTAGCTTGTCAGTGGAATTACCACGGCCTCACAGCAAAGAAGTCCAGCGTGAAGTGGAACTGTTATACCTTTCCAGGCGACTGAGGGTACCACGAATTAACACACTGAAATACTTTCTTCTACCTTTAGCAGGAGGAACATCAGCATTTCCGTTTACCTTCGTTCGCGGTTCCATTACGGTGAGCGTGTCGTCCTCGAGGAAATAGACGATATTGACGATTCGCACCCTGTAGTTCTCATCGGGGCTCTCGTATACTGGCTGCTTGAAGAACGCGGTGAAGTTGAGGCAACGCTTGTCGTAGTGCACCCAATGCGGGACTACAGCCGGCAACGCCGCTTGCTTCACTCGCCCATACGTCAGCGACGGGTCGTAACTTCGCATTTAAAGACGATCATATATTTATTTGTCATTCAATCTATTTTTCATGCAAAAACCTATATACAATGGCGGACTTGCCTTGCCATCAGCATTATCTGCCAGACAAACTTTTACATATTTCATCGAAGTTCATTTAGTGATAATCGTCTTGTAGTTTGTAGTTAAACATCTTGATGTTTAACTACGATCATGCAAAATTCGTCCAGTCATAACTTAAATTATGTCAGGCATTATATATGGAATTATTCACCCCTTTACAAAGTTTTAAATGCTCTCTCGCATAAGCGGCAAACAAGAAATTGTATACTTTTTCATTATACAGTAGCAGTAGATTTTTTGTATACAATGCTGATACAATATTACCAAAGCCAATATAAAACCAAAGCCTCGCAATTACAAGCACGAATGGCTGTAAAATAAAAGGCTGTCGTCCAATTTATATTTAAATCTAATACCTTTATCTATCTATCTATCTAATACCTGGAAACGAGCAATTCTTGTATATATACAGCGTGTCGTTACCACCGCAACAATAAATGAACACATATAGAGGATAACTTTTTAAAATTGTATTAAACATTTACATTCTTCAAACATCAATATTTACCGAGTTATTAAATTTTCCAAAACAAACAATTTTAGAACACCCTTACGTATAAAACTGTAACGTAAAGTTCATTTGTAAAGGTCACAAAGCATATGAATGGGTTGAATGAAATTAAAAGAGACAAAACATACTGTTAAAAGGAGAGGCTTGTAATGCGACGCTGTGGCGCGAGTTGTATGTTACAAATTATGTTTCTTTTTTACTTAATTAGTTTGTTTGAAAAATATTTTTTTTTAATTATGGATTTTGTTTAACGTTAATATTTTTTATGATTATTGGCAAGTAGCGTTAGACGTGTGTTCATTTATTGTCGCGATGGTAACGACACGCTGTATATAATCGGAATCTCGGAAACGGCTCCAGCGATTTTCATGAAATTAAGTATGTGCGTAGATTCGGGGGAGAAAAATCGATTTAGCTAGGTTACATTTTTAGAAAATGTCCTTTTATCCCTGTTTTCAGGAATGAAAAATATCATTCGAATATGACGGTAAATTTCGCTGAAAAAAATGTTATAATAGCTCGGTCGGTATTCGGTATCACGATCATTTACACACTTATTTTTTTAACTTTTATTTCTATGCCAGATCATTGCTTTGTACATTTTTTATTTTTTTAATTTGCAAAATACACGATTTACCAAAAAAAAACAGTCCTCCAGGTACTACTAAATTTAAAACACTATAGAGTATTATAACAGACTTACGCAAGCGATCATTGTAAGTTTTGTATTCATTCAATAATGGTTAAATGGATTTATAAGAATCTTACAAAAAACAACTCCATACGGATCAGAATTGAGTTAGCTCGATTAACTCATAATATCAATTAAATATTTGATATTGGACGGAGCCAACCTGACCACGATCGGTAATCTAATTTCAATAAATTTTAACAACATTTTAAGATTTTTATATATATTGTCCAAAAATTACAACTAGGTCGTAGTGGGTAACACAGGTTAACACAGGATATGCAGGTCCACAGCGTCAAAATTATTCGACTTTTTATTTACAAAAAATCAGATTTAAATGTCATCTTATGTGTAGAGGACTAGCAGTAAAAATAATATTCATCATAAAAAATCGGCAATGCAATATTATTTTTCTGCGGTCAAATGTCTACCTATGTGGAACAAAAATACGAGGTTACAAATAAAACATACTTCACGGAATCCTCTGGAAGGGCAAAGGCGTTGCTGTCGACATCCGTGTCTCCACCGCCCGGTGCCCTAACGATTGTGTCTGGAAATCTATAACCTTGGTAGTAACGCAGCGAGCCTCGTATGTGATGTTTTGTCTTCGTTGGATCCGTAAATGTCAAACCGGGAAGCTTCGGCAAGCCCCAAGCCATGGCTACTGTTTATCTGTGAATAATAATGGAAAATGTGATATTCTTCACAATTTAGTAATGGTAATTTTAATCCACGTAAAAATACATACTTAAGCATTTGATTGATACAGTGTAACACGTAGAGAATAGAAAAATTATTTTTATAAACACTTCTAAAATAACGACGAAAATAAAATTCTAAAATGTATGATAATAAGAAATAAGTATGATTGCTATTCGTAAGGAAAAGATGTATCCTTTTTACAATTACAAAACGTTGTCATGTAAATAACTAGAGATTAAACAAAACTGTCTCTAGGTAACGTAAAAAAGTGACATCACCCTTGTGCGTATAACTGTTACTTTTCAATTGTACATAAAATGAATGACAAAAAACGTAACCTATTAATAAGCACTTCTATCGTAATAGGAAAACTGTATCTTTAATAAAGAAGTTATAGCGCTGGTCACTTAATACCAAGAAAAACTAATAACTATACTTACTAAGATACGGTGTTACAATTATGCATGACATTATTGTAAATATGGGCAAGAATAAAACAGTGAATCTTAATCAAATTATGGAACCACAAAAAACTTTATAGTGAATAAATTCAGAATTCGTACTCCCTAAAATGCCATTTTGCGGCACGTTTGCCCGTTATTCTCATTCAAGTAAAATATACAGAATATATATGGAATACACTATGACCTAGCCGTAAAGAAACTATACGTGTATAAGTATATACTAATAACATTAAAAAGAATCGGTTTATACCACTTTTCAACATTTTATGATACAGAAAATAATGAATTAACCAATATTTCAGGTCGTTTATGTAGACTTAAACTAAGCAAAGCTTACAATTACTTAGCTATATAATAGATACTAGCTGGCCCGCGCAACATCGTCTGCGCCAAATCCACCGGCTTTTAACATTGTCCCATCTATTAGATGCTTACTCAATCCAGCCGATAAATTTACCTTACACCGCCATCGGTTAGAATCTGGAACATGGAACTGACAGATTTACTTTAGGTGTAGACCCGAAACCATGGAAGGCTGCTTTAGTGCACCCGATCCCTAAAAAAGCAACCCCTCAGATCCGTCCAATTACAGGCCTAAAGCCATCACCTCCTTTATCTCTAAGATAATGGAGTTCATTATAAACTGCGAGCTCGTGCCTAGTCGAGCACCGGGTGATTAGCGATCGCCAGTACAGCTTTCGTCGGGGTCGCTCAGCCGGTGATCTTCTGGTCTACCTCACACATAGATGGGCAGAAGCGGTTGAGAGCAAGCGGAAGGCGCTTGTAGCCATTCTAGATATAGCGAAGGCCTTTGAACGGGTATGGCATAAAGCACTTCTTTCGAATCTGCTTTCCTATGGGCTTCCCGAGAAATTATGTAACTAGATCACCAGCTTTGTGGCCGATCAGAGTATCGGGTAGACGGTGCATCCTCTGATCCAAAATGTTTCAATGCTGGTGTTCCACAAGGCTGCGTACTGTCTCCTACTTAATTTCTTCTGCATATGAATGACATGTTACAAATCAGCAACGTTCATTGCTATGCGAAAAATAGCACTGTACATGTCACGTACACTGGCCGTGCTAATATTTCTCGGGAAAACGTCTACGAGAGCCGGAACAAGCTTGCGTCTGAAGTCGACACTTGATTAACTAAAGTCTCAGACTGGGGTCGACTAAACTTAGTGCAATTAAACCCCAAAAAGACACAATTTGCGAAAGACACAGTTTGCGCGTTAACCGCTAAACTGTCCCCATTTGTCGTAACTCCTCATTTCGAGAACACTCCCTATCTGCCACAACTACTATCGGAATACGTGGCGTCGAAATCTTGAGCAACATCCAGTTCCGCGGTCAATTGGAAGGTAAGGTTAAATTGGCCTCAAAGAAGCTTGGTGTGCTCAGCAAGGCGAGACACCAAGCTTCACGGCGGCTCAAGGTCTAAACCACTATAAGGCTCAAATTCGGCCCCACATGGAGTACTGTTCTTATCTCGGGTGGGAGCCCCCTATTATCAGCTTCTTCCATTTAAACGCATTCAACGGCATGGTCCTTTGGCTCTGCGTAGAGATGTTCGATCACTCTGCATCTTCTACCGAATTTTTCACGGAGGGGAATTGTTTGGATTGATCCCGGCGGCTGAATTTCACCATCGGACATCGCGCCAGAACCAAAAATTTCATCCACACCACCTGGATGTCCAGCGTTCCACAACAGTGCGATTTTCAAGGAATTTCATGGCAAACGTTCGCAACGCTCTGTGGAACGAGCTACCGCCGGCGGTCTTTCCGAACGGTTACGATCTAGGAACCTTCAAGATGAGAGCATACTCTTTCCTAAAAGGCCGACAACGCATTTGTAAGCCCTCGGGTGTTGCAGGTGTTACCGCCGCCCATGAGGTAATCACTTACCATCAGGTGAGTCTCGTGCTCGTTTGCCCCATTTCTTCATTAGAAAAAAAAAAGATACTATAACTCTTTGTCATATTACAAACAAATTAATAATTTGTAATAAAAAATATTGCGACTATAAATTAATATATATAAACTATCCAGTCACTCAAGCTGGATCAAACTGCACTCGGTGTGCGAGTCCATCGCAGACAAACAATTACTTTAAACACGTAATTTATAACATTAAGTTTACATTACTTATACTGTTTTTTTCGACACTCACAGTTATATATTGATATATGAATTTGAAACGATATTAACTTTATAATTACTGACTTGACATTGGCAGAATTCTTTATAGAGACCATAAATAAAGAAATAAGAACTTTATAATAAATTGGTTTTATTATGACATATTTCTAATAACAGTCTTCTACATTACATCTTTATCTGATTACACTTAATTTGTACTCATGTTACACAACATTATTCTATTTGAGGAGGGTAAATAAAACATACATTAGCATATATATAGATATATATTTAATAAACCTTGATGTTCAAAAAATTCCATAACCTTATTTTTTCTTATGTATCGGATTAGGCCAAACAACTTTGTTTGTAATAGAAACAATGTTACTATTATTATGCTGATATAATACGTCCATAACGTGTATTATATTTCCTCGTTCGTATCAGGCAACGCAGAAATTTTGTAAAATAGGTAGAACAATGAAATATCAACGAATAGTTCCGATTTACACTAGGAAAGTTCGTTTCGCCTTGCAGAGGGTATTGTAGTATATTTGGGTGTCTTTCCTTTTTATTTCCACGGCCCGTCATGATTAATATATTTATAATAATATCCGAAAACTATGGCGTGCAAAATAAACATAAAAATAATAAATCTGGAATTTAAAATTAATGCAACATTAAATGAATTAACCAATCACATGGACTATATTCATACAAACGTAAAAAGTACTTCATCACAAAAAAGTTATCATATAAATAAAGTGAATAAACAAACACAGAAAAACAATAAACAATGTTAATTTTTCGCAAATGTTAAAAATATATTTATGTAATAGTAGAGAAAGGCACTCCTCTTTGTTATCGACATTTTATACTGTCTATCGCTATACCGATTGTAATAAAGATATAGCGAAACGGTATGTCTAATAAGTTTCTACTCTTTCATCTCATTTTAATTAATGACATCATAATTCTCTTCCGTCGATAATGTGGATAAATCAAAATGTATATTAGTGGTTATTTACCTCGACCTAGGCGGGTTTATCGTGACTTACTTCCTTCCGTTCCTGTTTCCGACCCACTTTCAGATTCTATCGCTTAAGTTCAACGTCGGCTTTGGGATAGCTCAGACCATTAAGTTCTTACGATACTTCGTCTTCTTCTTATCTAAAAATGTACAATCTTTAGTAAAAAATGGACCAGAATATAACTCATCCATACCACGGTTAGCACAAACTGAAGTACAAGTACGTAGAACAATATTCATTGTTGTTATTGTTGTCGTCCTTTATGTAGGAGAGAGAGGTAAAAGTTGATATAATTATAAACTTAACAAGACAAGTTTCATACGAAAGTTTCCTTATCCGCAAAGTTGTGCATGCGGGCTCTAATATCCGCGTTGAAGTTATTTCAAGAACTTGTAATTATAAACAGGTTGCTTAAGTATTCCTTGTAACGTCACAAATTTCTGTTGAGGCTAATGACGTAAAACTAATTCCGTATCTTGTTTACTTTCTTTTAATGTATTCTTTTTACTACGTTTCAAAAATATAAATACAAATTGAAGCATAAATAACTCCAAATCAATTGGTTAGATGGTAAATGTTCTCAGAAAATGCAAACATGAATTACGTAATCAGTATTAAGTATCTACATTCAATAGTTACTACTACTAGAATATACATGTATATATTACATATAATGAGATTTTCTAAGACATAAATGTAATTAGAATTGAATAAATAAACATTTTTACTTTTTTTTTTTTTTTTCGATAAAATTGTATATAACAATAAAAATATTCATTTACATCGTATTATGCATTTTCTGAGAACATTTCCCATATTAATTTATATTTTTTACACCATCTGAAAGTAGAGATTTCAACAAACAAAAAGTCCACCATTTTTGAAAAACTGATATTCTTCAGTTAAACTTAATTCTATATGCATAAACATTTTAAATTGTGAACCATCTGCTCGTTTGGCAACTTTTCGCATAAAAAAAATATTTTTATGTATAAACAATTTAAGTTTTGAATTTTAAAAACGTATTCTTTCGTTGAATTTGTAAGCGGCGCTCTGCGCCACAGAAGCTTTTGCCCGCCGAGGTGCATAATTTCGACTCATGTTTCGTTTGTTCTCGCTAGAAGAATTCATTGAATATGGATTGGCCCAACGCTTTTATTTAATACCTTTTACTAAACTACTGCGCGCTCCGTAGTTATAGGTTTTAATACTTAACTACTGATTATAATTTATTGTCATTAGTTGAATAGTAGTTTAAATATATTTGTGGGAAATTATTAATAAAGGTAAATCGATAGGACCAAGATCGATTTGACTA